ACCTGCGTCCCCCTCTCCCACATAGGTAGATGGAATTTGGTGGCAAAGTAGCTTCTATTGAGTTGATGGACCCTGCCAATTTTCAGACAGGTAGCTCCAGTTCTTTTCGTGCTAGTCACCTTTAAAGTTTGGTGTGTTTCCCCCCCCCCAATCTTAAAGTCAGTTCTCCACATTTCCATTTGCAAAATTCTTTTTGAAATGTCTCCGTGAAAAATCCACCAGCATTTTAGTGCAAACATCTCCTAACAAACACATTTGTTTGCAATTTTGCCAAATGTACAGATTTTTTTGTAAAACAGTCCTTTCCAAATAGTTCATTTCCATATGTTATTTTCACCAACATACGTGTTCCTGTGAAAAAACTTTGCCCCTGCAGTTAGATTTCAAATTTCAGAGAAGTGCAACTCTCAAAGGATGGCAGTGTTTTGGTTCGCCTATTCTGGAATGTGTGAATTAGGTGGGTTTACTGTGAATTAGGTGGGTGTACTGCAAATAATTATTCCTCCAACATCTCGACTTTACACTGCAGGTTTGTTTGTTTTTTTACTGTATATACTATATACAGTATACTAATTTCAGTTTCGTGGGGTAAGTGTAAGCAAAAAGCAAGGGCCATATCCAAGCAACCAGTGATACCAGCAAACTCAGGAAAATTCTGATGGTACCACAGGTTTTTAAAACTTTCTTAACCACACACACACACACACACACACACACAGCCAGCCCAGAATAAATTTTTAAAAGCTAACAACCAAAAAGGAAAGATAATTATACGTGTGGATGGTTGTGAGGGAGACTGGGGAGATGCAAAAGCAGAGATCAAATGAGGAAATTTGGAGGTTGTTTAGCAAAGTCACCACACAACATGAATTATGTTCAAGCTTTGAACAGGAGCAGGGGAGATTTTGCTGGGACCTGGAAGAGGGTGTGGAGAAGGCAAATAAGAACAGAGAACGCTGAAGGAGGAACCAGAAGTTTTGTGTATGGACATCAAAAGCACTTTCCATTCATGAGGAACAAATGACTGCCTCCTGCCAGCCAACTTTCCTGAATTTCACAGCAACACAAGCATGCTGTTTTCTGCTAGGTTTTTAATATAACAGCAGTCCTGAAAGACCTACATTGGCTCCCAGTACATTTCTGAGCACAATTCAAAGTATTGGTGCTGACCTTTAAAGCCTGAAATGGCCTCAGCCCAGTCTACTTGAAGGAGCGTCTCCACCCCCATCATTCAGCCCGGACACTGAGGTCCAGCTCCGAAGGCCTTCTGGCGGTTCCCTCACTGTGAGAAGCCAAGTTACAGGGAACCAGGCAGAGGGCCTTCTCAGTGGTGGCGCCTGCCCTGTGGAACGCCCTCCCACCAGATGTCAAGGAAATAAGCAACTATCTGACTTTGAGAAGACATCTGAAGGCAGCCCTGTCTGGGGAAGTTATTTAATGTTTGATGTTTTATTGTGTTTTTAATATTCTGTTGGGCTGGGGAAACCCAGCCACATGGGCGGAGTACAGCTTCCGGGTCATGTGGCCAGCATGACTAAGCCACTTCTGGCAAACCAGAGCAGTGCACGGAAATGCCGTTTACCTTCCCGCTGGAGCAGTACCTATTTATCTACTTGCACTTTGACGTGCTTTTGAACTGCTAGGTTGGCAGGAGCAGGGACTGAGCAACGGGAGCTCACCCTGTCGCGGGGATTCGAACCGCCGACCTTCTGATCGGCAAGTCCTAGGCTCTGTGGTTTAACCCACAGTGCCACCTGCGTCCCTTATTATTATAGTGTCCCCTTTCTAATCCTACTCTTTTTGCTAATCAACTCGGTTTCTGCTGAGATTCGGAAAGAAGCCGGTCATGTGATGTTCCTCCTCCATACACCCCAAAAGCCCATTCCCAAGCTTGCAAAATTTGTTTCCAACTCTTTCCCCCTTGCTCTTCTTTTACTTTAAAATTCATTGCCAGGCCAAACATACAGGTCCAGTTGGTTACCTGTGTGTCCACCTGCCATCCCCAAACAACAGCACAGAGGGGTTTTTGACTGGGAAAACAGTGAGGTAAGGATTAAATTCCCTTCCCTTAAGTGCCACGGTCCCAATCCAATTCTCCCACCCTGCCCCAGTCCTGCAGCTGTGATTCAAGTTTTTAAATAGCTATGGGAGATCGTCATCATGGATCTCTCGCATCCACAAGCATCCTTGTGTTCATACTTGAGAAACTGGGGAACTTGTCGAGGTCCTGTCCTATGGACCACAGTGAATACTTTCTTCTCCTTTCTTTCCCTCTGCATTATTTTGTTCTGCTGGGGAGATTTCTGGGCCTCTGTAATCCAAAAGCGGGAAGGGGAACATGCAGGCAAATTGATTTGCAATAATTCAGTATTATTACTGCTGCTGTTGAAGAGGCACTATCTGAAATTCTGGCAGACAGCAATGGGGCCTGTTGATCGAGAGCATTAGTTCTCTATTGCAACTGCTCCACTCAGGGCCCTGTTTTTATTGGATCAACTATAATAGCCAATTCGGCTGCTCCTCTTAGCACCCCTCTGACTGGAAGCCAAAATGCCCAAGGTCAGAGAAGCGCACTGAAATATAAAAGTAGACCCTCCAAGTGTCCGTATTTTCCAGGGATAGCCCTGGATTTACAGAAGCTGTCCCAGTTTCTGATTTGATCCCGGCATGTCCTGCTTTCCCTTAAAGGTAAAGGGACCCCTGACAGGTAAGTCCAGTCACGGACGACTCTGGGGTTGCAGCGCTCATCTCGCTTTACAGGCCGAGGGAGTCGGCGTTTGTCCGCTCTGCAGAGTTTTTCCCAGGTCATGTGGCCAGCATGACTAAGCCGCTTCTGGTGCAACGGAACACCGACACCAGAGCAGCGCACGGAAACACCATTTACCTTCCCGCCAGAGCGGTACCTATTAATCTACTTGCACCTTTTGACGTGCTTTTGAACTGCTAGGTTGGCAGGAGCAAGGAGCTCATCCCGTCACAGCAATTCGAACCGCCAACCTTCTGATTATCAAGCCCAAGGCTCAGTGGTTTAGACCACAGTGCCACCTGTGTCCTTATTTGCATTGGAGAAATGTTGGGTGGTATGGAGCTATGTGATCCCTGAGCCAAGGAGATAGATAACTATACAGTGGTACCTCGGGTTACATACGCTTGAGGTTACAGACTCCATTAACCCAGAAATAGTGCTTCAGGTTAAGAACTTTGCTTCAGGATGAGAACAGAAATCGTGCTCCTGCGGCGCGGCAGCAGCAGGAGGCCCCATTAACTAAAGTGGTGCTTCAGCTTAAGAACAGTTTCAGGTTAAGTACGGCCCTCCGGAACGAATTAAGTACTTAACCCGAGGAACCACTGTATAGCCTTTAGAAGACATCTGAAGGCAGCCCTGTATAGGGAAGATTTTATGTTTACTGTTGTATTATGTTTTTATATATGTTGGAAGCTGCCCAGAGTGGCTAGGGCAACCCAGTCAGATGGGCGGGGTATAAATAATAATTTTATTATTATTATTATTATTAAGGAATAAGACATCCGTATTTTAATCCGAGAGACATTGAAGGGTATGTTAAAAACTGGGCAGCACACTTTACCCCCACCATTTATGTGTAGATACAAACAATTGCAATATTTTTATTCCAAACCCTACTTCCAAGTTCATGCAGGGATTTGCAGCCAGGCACATTACACAAACAAAGCCAAGGTCTGAGGTTCTACACCACCACCTCATAAGGGATAGAAACTAGCTTTATTTAAAAATGAAGGCATGAGCTGACAAGGATCTTCCCTTTATTTCTTACGCTGAGGTGACTACTATCAGTTAATCCTTTCTATTATGACAAATGAAATGCTTGTTTTGAAATCTTCCCCAGGTACTGTCCTCTGTCCGAAAGCTCTCATATATGGGATTGCAGATGCCAAAGAGATACGTAGGACATTGTGACAACATCCTTTTCTGTAGCTCCTTTCTAAAGCAGTTCCTGTCCCACAAAGAGGGTTCATTCTGAGTTTGGATTTGTACCCTACTAGTCTCTTTAGGCCAGAACGGCGTGGGAAGAATGTTTCTGAAGAACTGCATTCAGTTGTCCTCAAGTGGAAACTCTGGCATGTCTTCTTCATAAGAATGCACATCCCTCGAATCTTGTTATCCACTTTGCCACAACAGAGAAGGCTCTGAATCCTTGTAGCTTGGAGACCATCATGATAGGAGACTTAACATTTCTAAGAAATTACTCTCAATTTCCACCTTCATCGGGACAGTTGTCTCTGACTTGTTTTTTTATAGGCACAGACATGTGGTTGCCCAAACTGTACAAGCAGTGAAAAAATGGCAAGGGGGGGGGGAGAGGAAAAATTAGCATGTGCCAATGAAAAAGGTAGCAAGCAGATCTTATTCAACCACTCACTCAGTTTCCAAACCTGAGGTTTTATCCAAAAGTGGTATTTCTGAGCATGTGCTCACTGTGGGCCGGAATCATGCGTCTGAAAGTTTGTCCCAAAGTGACTCTTCAGCTGTACACTCTGAAAAAATATTTAGGCTGCTGCATATATCCAGGCCAAAGTATTTCTGTATTGTACATCCAATGTACCATACTTGGTTGTTAATGAATTTGGGTTTTTGGGCGTGTACAAAAAAGTGAATTCTCATTCGAACATTTGGTTCTCACCACCACATATCTTTTGTCTCTAAATGCTGTGCCAAATTGAAATCGCTGCCTTCTGCTTGTTTGTTTGTTTTCTAAAGGGGAATCTGCCCATTATTCTCCATCATTCTAGTCACTCAAGCAGTGGGAAAGAGAAGCTGCAGCCACCGCCATGTCATGCTTTTCCTTTACGTCAATTTGGCGTTCATCTCATCAGCAAATTTATATCAAGAGACCACAGCTCAGTTTTCCTTCTAACACAATTGCCTTTGAAATTTGTACCAATATTATTTAGGGTGTGTGTGTGTGTTTGCAGGTGCGTTAGGTCTGTGTTTCTAAAATAATAGCGAGCACCTTGCGCTCTCACGACACACCTTCCACAGCAAAATCTTCAAGCGCGCCCATTGAAATGATGTCAGCATTATCAGGGAGGCTCACGTCCTTCTCAAAGTTATACTGTGACCCATCCACTTCGCGACTGTCAACATCACACACGGCAGACTCAATATAAGGTTGACTCCCGAGAGGTTCTGGGTACTGGCCACCTTGTGACCAGTCTGTAGCCGATTCCAAGAGGGCTCTTTGCATAAGGGAAGCTGATTCAGAAAACTGAGATGGTGATGCCTGTACTGGAACAGAGGAAACTCTGGTTGGGAGAGTACTGGGGTACAAGACGTAAGAAGAAGGGACACTCTCTGAAGAGGGCGTTTGAGACAAGTTCCTTTTTGAAGGAGGGATCGAGAGCTGGATGTACCTTCCGCTCTCTGGATCATAAAAGGTCTTAAACTGAACAGGTAAATCTACAATGAAATATTCTCCTGAATCCGGATCCTGAAGCAGCTTACGCTGGGTTGTGGCAGGTAAAGAGGGCGTGGGACTTAATGATGGGGCAGGTTGTAGCCTCACCAGGTGAGATTCTGATGGTGTCAAGGAAGAATTAAGGCATATTGGCGAGAGTGAGGATTGGATTGGTTGCAAAGTTCCAATATCGCCGCCGTGGGATGGAGCTTCATCCTGCAGCCTTTTCTGCTGTGCCTCTGTTTTCTTCCTCTTGCTTGCCAGTTTCTTTGCTCGCCGTAATGCCTTTTCGGATTTGGGTGGTACAGCCGGGGGTTTGGCTGCTGTCTTCGCCATCTGAAGTCTCTCGTTTGCAACAGGAGAGCTGCCAGGATCTCCCGAGAGTTGACTTGTCTGCATCAGATCAAATGGCTCCAAGGTAGAAGACCTCTTTCCGCTCTCTGTTCCTCCTTGCAATGAAGAGGAACTTGTTATTCTTTCAGCCTGTGGTACATTGGAGACTGCAGACGTATCTGAAAAAGGACTTGTGAAGGTAGATTGCATCGCGCTGTGTGACCTTGGACTTGGTATGGTGGAAACGGTTAGGGTACCCGATGATGCGGATGTATGCCGGAAAACTTCACTGGAAGCATGAGAATAGGGCTCCGATATCGTGGGAGATCTCATCTCTTGACTTATTATCTTTTTCACACAAGAACCACCTCTGCGTTTAGATAAGAGATTGTTCTTAAAATAGTTCACCTTTTCTCTCACAGGGCACTTTTGCCTGTTTTGTGCTGGGTCACCTTCCAAACTAAGAATCGGTTGGCTGGAAGAATTACGCCTCAGTTTCCCAGCCCTAGCCTTTTCTTTGTCTCTGGCCAACTGTTTCCCATCGCTTTTCAAACCTTGCTGTGATAACCCTGGTGTAATATTAGCTCCATCTTCTTCCACCAATTCCTGCATATAGACTCCTTCTGGTCCTTCTCTAAGTGTGTATCCTGTTGTTAAGGGGCTTTTCCGTACCACTTGACAGCTCACACTGCCTGGGATGGATCTTAACTCATCAGCATCTCTGCCTGTTGCAGCATCCCTCACGTCCTGCTGGCTTCTGTTTCTTGACGAAAACAAGTCCACCTCTTGAATGTTTGGAGTAGAACGAATGGGCCCAAAAGTCTGTCTTTCAGCCTCCGCGTAACTGCCAGTGATGGCTTCTTCACAGGACAAAGACCTGAGCAGAGGCAACTTGACTGCTTTTATCACCGGTGACGACTTAAACGTGTTGTCTTTAATCATGAACATATTGGGCTTCAGTGAACTTGGTGAAGTTGGTGTTAGTGACTCTTCCAGCTTGGCTTCTGATGCCGAATCCATGCTTTTCCATTTGTCTTCTCTCTTCTCCTTCACGTCTATTTCCTGCGCTGCCTTCTCATTTTTACCCTGCTCTTCCTGCTCCTCATGCTTCTCATCCGTGTGACAGCCACGGATGCTCAGATGGTAGTCATGCAATTGCTTCTCCCCCCCTGACTTCTCCTCCCCCTCTTCTTTGCTACCTAGCTTTTCTTCTGCACTCCACTCATTCTTACTCCTCTGGCTTTCTTGATGGCATGCTTTCTGAAAGAGCTGCATTAGAGAAAAAGTGTCGTCGTGAAATGGCTGGTCTATAATGGAGACAAAAGATTGTTCAGAAGAGCTGGTGCTCCTTTTGCCTCGGTGTTCATTTCCAGTCGGTGGGCAGGCTTGGTTTCCACTATCATTTATGTTCTCCTCAGGTGTGAAAAATAGATATGGGGATACCTGGGGTTCCGCATCAGCACTGTGACTTGGAGCGACTTGTTTACTTTTAAGATCCTGCAGTTGGAAACTTTGAACATGTGCTTCTGAGTCAGTTGGCACATCTGCAAGGTGAGAGTTGGGTGGAGAATATTGTCTTACACGGTGCTCATTTGGGTGGAAGTCAGTCAGAGATGACATCTCACTGTCCTCTGGAGTCAGGTAGCTGTCAATGAAATGCCCAGCGGAATTGTTGGCATTGGTGCTGTCCGTTTGTTCAGAAGGCTTATGACCTGTTTTGTCAGCCTCAGCCATTTTTTTATTGCTTCCTTCTAGCGCATTGGCGGCTGTGACGCTTGCTTTTATGCCGTCTTGCTCCTTAATCTTTTTGTCGTCAAGGGTTCTTAGGAGAGGGGAGGGACTGTAAGTGCTTTTCACACGTTTTCGGATATCCTTCAGGTTGAACAGCAAACTCGGTGCTTTCGACTTATAGTTGTTCTGAGAAGAATAGAGTGTTCTCTCCTCTGTTTCTTTGGCGGTTCCAGTTTCAGGAATGGGAGGAGCTTCCAGAAATGACTGGCCTTCTGAGGGCTCTCTCTCTTGTTTACGTGGTAGGACTGGAGTTAAAAGTTTTGAGATGTTGAAAGAAGGACTAGAGGGGTCAGATGGAGCCATGTGGGACTCATCTGCGGATGTTTCGGCCATGGGAGTGACGTCAGGTGGCTTTCTGTACGAGGAGTCCTTCATTCTTAGCACTTCTGGTGCAATCTCCTGCGTCAGCTCCATTCGTCCAAGCTCTTTCTTTTGTTTCCTCCAAGGTGGACAAATATTTTTCAGCTCAGACTTAAATTCTGAATTGCTAGTCTTCTCTGACAACACCGTAACTTGAGGCGCTATCGCTTCTGGTGGAGCAGAGGCCTGAGGCAGAGATTGTGGTGGAGTGGAAGGCTTCAGTGACACGGAAACCTGCGGAGATGGTGGAAAAGAGGTTTCAGGTGTAAGGGATGGTGATGTAGGAATCCTGTGCATAGATGGCGGCAGATCAGAAGCTTGGGGTGGCAACACCTGTGAAACAATGTCTTTAGCATTAGCCTGAGGAGGAAAAGGCACCTGGGCTAGAGGTAATGGAGAGAGAGAGGCTTGAGAGAGTGGTTTTTGTGGAAAGGCACCTGAGAAATCCTGTTCTGAAATTATGGGAGCTGTGACCTTCGGGGGAGATGGTTTACATTCATGAATACAGGCCTCTCTAAAGAAAGGTGTTTCTTCAAAGTATGTCAGGTTTCCTTCTTTGAGGATAATTTCAGTAGGCCCGCCTGTCTCAAGTTTTTTATGATGCAGATTCCACGATTCAAAAGCACTGTTCTCGCTGTGTAGAAAGCTGCCCTTTCTAGCTGGCTCTTTGGCTTTCCCAGTTCGGTTTTTTGCCGCCTTTCTCGAGACGGCGGAGACACTGGACATTCGAATATTTGAAGCATCGGCCTGACGATAAAAACCACGTGGACCGTGACACGCCAAATCCATTTTGTTCTGCCTTCTGTGAAGTTCGTGCAGTTTGGGCCTCCCGCTTGCATTTGCCACGTCCTGGAACGGCTCAGAAAACTCAGAGAGTTCCTTCTGGATGTTTAAAATGGTTTTGCCACCCCAGAAAGCCATGTCGCCTCCGCAAATTAAGGGGAGTTTTGTCAAACTGTTTCTAACCGGTTGTTTGGCTGTCGCTGAAGCCTCCTGGTTCTCAGCTTTATCAAAGGTCTTTATCAAGGAGGAAACTTTTGAGGTATGTTTATAATTGCGCAGACTAGGCACTGGCAAACCCAGCTTCATCCTAATGCTTGGGGTGATGTTTATAGCAGTGTTTTGACCTTCTTGGGTGTCATTTGGAAACTGCTGGAATGTTGAATGCTCCTCAGTTTTTGACAGTCCCTTGTTAGGGAGAGTATTTTTCTTGATGGCATGGTTCCGCGGGCCTTGGGGAAATTTGCTCGAGAACTGGTGGGAGATGTTGGGTGAAACAACTGGATCGGCTTCTGTGTAAGATGATTCGAGCTCAGCCACACACAGACTTTTGAAGGCTCGGTCGGTGAGGCTGCAGACTTCTCTGTCTGTGTCATCCAGGAAGCTCCCAATACTGGAGGAGTCGCTTTGCCCATCGGCGTGCTTCTTATTCACTTGCATTGTCCATATGAGTCATGAACAGAACAGTCAAAATAGCAATCTCACGTACAGAACAGGTAGGCAATTCTTTCAGCTACCATATCTCAGCTTTCGACATCTTTCGGCGACCTTCCTCCTCAAGAATGCACAGCTTTACATTCATTTATTGTGTGGAAGCGCAAATAGGGCTCTGCAAATTGAACACATAAAATCAGTTATTGTAGTGTATCGTAGTTGACACGTGAACTTTTTCCCTGTTTAGTTCCATTGTTGAGTCTCAGGTTAATCTGATTATGTCCTTCCAGAATCAGGTTGTGTGACAAATTTTTACATATTAGCCTGTTCATATGTTTCTCACATATGGGGGTTTACCATGATTACTTGGAGTAGCAGTATGCTTTTATTACCACCCACAACATAGCTTGTCCGGTCTGGGAATCAGCATGTTTTTACATGAGTAGAATGTGCCCTTTTATTTAAAATGCATCTCTGGGTTATTAGTGGGGCCTGCCTGGTGTTTTTACATAAGTGGAATGTGTGCTTTTATTTAAAATGCATCTCTGGGTTATTTGTGGGGCATAGGAATTCGTTCATTTTTTTTCTTCAAAATATAATCTAGCCCCCCCCCCACAAGATCTGAGGGACAGTGGACCGGCCCCCTGCTGAAAAAGTTTGATGACCTGGTTGAATATGGCCACCAGAATTTTACTGGTACAGCCAAGAATATGCCTATCACACACATGGCTTACCGTACTTTTCCATGTATTAGACGAGGGTTTTTTTTTTTTTTACTCTAAAATAAAGTTTAAAATGGGGGGGGTGTCGTCTTATACATGGACACTGCAGTGGGGGGACGGGTGATTGGTTGCAGCTGTGAGCAGGATCTAGCGATTGGGTGGGTGAATGGTATCTGCTGCAAGGGCTGCTTTTTATTGGCTGCTGCTTCGGCAATTTGGTGGGCGTTGCTTGTGATGGTTAGTGTTCACCAGTTAGGTGAAAGCTCTGGGCCGGAATTCCGGGGTGGCGCCATCGGCAATTGCGGACTCCCTCTGAACTGGAGGGACTAGCTCTGCGCGAAACGGGTCTTTTCCACTACGGCGAAGCGGGGACCCTTTTAAAAATCACAGGCGGATGAAGCCTGTGACCATGGGACTCGGCGGGCACTCTTAGCGCCCCCCCAACCCGCAAAGGAACCCACTAATGGGCTCCGAAGCGAAGAGGGGGAAGTGGCGCGGTGCTGTGAGTCAACTGCTATTTCCGTGGAGCGAAGCCGCATAGCCGTTGCCGGAGAGTGCTGCCTTTTTCCTGGGACAATTTGGCTTCTAAAATAAGCACCTGTGAGTACTTAAACTTTGAACAATTGGACTTCAAATAAGGACTTGCGAGCAGAAAGGAATTGGACTTAAAAATTTACTTCAATTTGGTACTGAAACGGGAAGGTCTAAACAGGAAGTCAGCCTTCCGTTTCTTTGTAGACAGAATAAAGCAAAGACAACGTAAACTAGAGCTCAGAAAATCGCTTCTAAAGGATTGGCTTTCATCATTTAAAATCCTTGAACCCCCCTTCGGCAGCAGGAGAAGAAGGGGGATCTTTTTCGGACTGTTTAAACCTGCAGAAGTGAGTTTAAAGTAAAGTAACTTTCCACCGTCCTGATCCTGGAGCGGGGTGTCAGGACTGACATTTGAAGCTCATTGACCAGAGACAAACGTTTTTGACAGATAGCTAAAAGAAGAGAAACATAGTGATTCCACTATTTCCTTTCGCATTTTAAAGGAACAAATATTGACAAAATATCTCAAAAAGAAACTTTGTTGCAAGAACAATTAGAAGTTTTCCCCCTAGAGGGAGACTGGGAAACTGTAACTAATTCCAGGGAGCTTGCAGCTGTCGCAGATTACAATCGTGGGAAAAGGCTTGTGACCTTGTAGGACAATGTATTCAGAAGCTCTGTTGTGTGCTCTCTGTAAAACAAATGCTCTACTGGAACAGTTAACTGAGAAGACGGATTTGATGACTAATGCGGTCAGAATTTTTGAACAGGCAGTGGGAAACTATATGGAGCCCACCCAGGAATTAAATCAGGAGTGTGCCCTGACAGAACAGATGAGAGAAGAGGATGTTGCAGAATCTTGGGCGCCAGAGATGGAGGGAGCTGCGGCCCAGCAGGAACATGAGCTTTTGGATTTGACAAATGAACTTGGAAAAAGCCAGATTTGGAAAGAAAAAGTTTGGACTGGTTTGGAAATGGGGGGTTGGATAGACCCCCCTATTGCAGGGATGTTTGGACTTTCCGAGTCTGGCAATGGGCCGTGAGATGTTTGGAGCTGTGGGGGCTCTCAATTTTGGAGGGACTCTGAAACATGTTTTTAAATACCACATGGAGTTTAGTCTGGACTATGGAAAAGGGGCTGATTTGTTGAAAAGGGTCAAAAACATTACCAAGCTGGAGTTCCCACGAGTGAAAGGTGAATATGAAGAAGAGCTGCGGAAGGGACATGGAAGAGACTTAAGGGCCTCGGATATAAGGTTACCAGGTTAATGCGCTAGATCGATGGGATAAAAAGGACTGACAAAACCCGGGACCAGGAGGAAGGGACGCTGGATGAAGATTGGATTGTTTCTATTTCTTTTTTATCACTAGGATTGTTTTATAAAATTGATGACTGTTAGAAAAATGTTGGAATGAAATTACTTGGCTCTAGCAAAAATGTTTAAAGAATTAGGCAAGAATATTATGGTTATGAGAAGTGGGTAAAAATAAGATTTAAGTTTTAAGGTTTTTTATAAGATAAGATGAAAATAGATTAAGGTAATGTAATGACAGAATATTATGAAATATGGAAAGGATTTGCTGTGATAATTATTAACTGGGATACAAAAAAAGGGAGGAGGAGGAGGTCAAAGAAAGAAGGTAATGAAAGTTGAAGATTTGAGAATGATGGTTTTATTTTTATCTGTTTGTGGTGTATTTTTGTTTTTTGAATTTGTATTGTTGGATGTGGCTTTTTTTTCTTTTTTTTTTCTTTTTCCTTTCTCTGCTTTGTCTTTTTCTGTAAGTTTAAAATTTTTTCCAATAAATATCATTTAAAAAAAAAAAAAGAAAGCTCTGGGCCATCTCCCCCCAATTTTCTTTAATTTTAGTCCCCAAAAATAGGGAGCGTCTTATAAACAGAAAAGTATGGCAGTTTTTGTTTTAATATTGGCTACCAGTTCACTTCAACGTACATACCTTAAAAGCCCTTAACACTTAGGTCCTGAATGCCTGAAGAAGTTCTTCTTCTTCACCCAATCTGCCAGTGCTTTAATATCTTCCACTGAAGACCTTTTTCAGGTGCTGCCTTCCTCACAGGTACGCTGTTGGATAACAAAGGAAAGTCCTTTTTTTTCAGAAATGGCGCCCTGGTTATGAAACACCATCCCTATAGCCCATCCTATTTTTCTAGGAAAAAAGGTGCCGGAAGTCACCACGAACATCTCCCTCATTCTCTCATAATGGTAATGGTGCCCACTGGAGAGTTGCCAGAACCCAGCTGAGAGGTGCTGGAACTGGAACTGCCTCTAGCGGCTTTGTTGGAGTCTAAGCTGCGTTCTTTATAGAGCAGGCTTCCTCAGCCCTCCAGATGTTTTTGGGCCTACAAAGCCACTTCTGACCTCGGGAGGAGGTGGTGTTGTGGGCATCACACTCCCAGCCCCGCGCAATCTGGGGAATCCTCGGCCGCGTCATCCACGGGCCAGCCAATTGGCTGGCCCAGGGGGTGTGGCTTGCCTCATTTAAGGCAAGCGCGCCCAGGAATCTCCCTCTTTGGCCCCTCAGCTGCGTTTGTTTCCCACCCACCCGCCTTTCAAGGTTCCTCTTTGGACCTTGCTATGGACCTCGGTTGGTCGCTGTTAAGGGGCCTGGTAGGAATTTTTTCCACTTGGTAAATTGGCACCAGCCATTTGGTTTTTCGCCTACCTCATAGCAAATCGTCACAACTTTCTCGGTTTTGGCGGTTAGGCATTGCTATGGGTATTGTTATGTAGATGTAAGGGGGGGGGAGCGCCATCACCTCCCCCGGATATTGAAGGGTAGTCCGGTAAAGGATTCCGGGGGGTGTGGCCCCGTCCGAAGCCTATGGAGGCCAGGGCCCAAGGCACGCCCCCGAGCGGTGACCCCGGGGGAGTGCCTAGTTGATGTGCATCAGCAGGGCTCCCCTGCTGGTGTTAACCCTTCCCGGTCTTCAAGCAAGCAGGCTGAAGCCGGATAGTCGATAGGACCAGTGCCTAAGCCAATACCGCTCATCACCTATAACCAATAAAGTTGTGGCCTAATTTTAGCCCATTAACCTAAATTACTGTGTCCTGTGTCTTTATTTCCACTAGTGGGAGGCGGGATCTCGCCACGCAACTCCCATGATCCCTGGCTAGCAGGACCAGTGGTCAGGGATAATGGGAAGTGTAGTCTCAAAACATCTGGAGGGCCGAGGTTGAGGAAGCCTGTTTTAGAGCCATGCAAAAACGTTCGTATTCACATGTCAACTTGTTGCAATTTTAGTGGTTGAGCAGAGCAGGTGGAGAAAGGGAGAATCGACCCAAAACAGAGCAGTCGCCAAATCCAAAGCCCTGGCATGCATTGCATAGCTCTTGGCTGTGAAAAGTGCCCTTTTGTTCCAAATTGGATTTGTTTTAGCCCGTTATTATGAAAAGGAAGAAGAAAGATCAGAACTAACACTGCAGACTTTCCCACTCATGCTCCCATAGCTTTGCTTGTCCACTGCTGTGCAAATGAGGTTCAGGCTCTAAGTTACAGACCCTTAAAGGTAAAGGTAAAGGGACCCCTGACCATTAGGTCCAGTCGTGACCGACTCTGAGGTTGTGGCGCTCATCTCGTTTTATTGGCCGAGGGAGCCGGTGTACAGCTTCCAGTTCATGTGGCCAGCATGACTAAGCCGCTTCTGGCGAACCAGAGCAGCGCACGGAAACACCGTTTACCTTCCCACCGGAGCGGTACCTATTTATCTACTTGCACTTTGACATGCTTTTGAACTGCTAGGTTGGCAGGAGCTGGGACCGAGCAACAGGAGCTCACCCTGTCGCAGGGATTCGAACCGCCGACCTTCTGATCGGCAAGTCCTAGGCTCTGTGGTTTAACCCACAGTGCCACCCGCGTCCTTTGCATACCATACATCCCTGCATATTTTACATGAACTAAATCATTCAGTGATTCATTATTACATCCATCAAAACTCATTTACACTGTTGAATTTATCTTAATGCTACCAGCGTTTTTAAATGAACGCAATTTTCACCCAGATATGCAGTAAACATTTTCCAGTCTTTAAACGTTTATCCTTCTTGTTCTCTTATTCTATATGTTAAATCTGCAAGCTGTGCATATTCCACCAGTTTCAGTTGCCATTCTTCTTTGGTTGGGACCTTGCTCGTTTTTCATTTTTGGGCTAACAAAACACGGGCTGCAGTAGTAGCATACATAAATAATCTTTTTTGGCGCCTGGGAATTTCCCTTTTTTGTTGGGGGATAATTCAGAGGGAAATTCCCGTGTTTCTCATAATGCCCAGACTTTATGCACCTGGGACATTTTACAGGGTGTGGGGGGAGAATGACAGCTGACAGTTACTACCACTGCAAATGATAAGCCTCCCAACTCTGGGAAGAATGCTTCCTCAAGAACCATCCATTCCCTCTCAAATCTGTCAAATGCTATTCCCTCCATTTAATTCAGCCCTAGCTGGCGAGGACATTTTAAACTGAGGGTGCTTCGAGCTCTGTGATTCTAGTCAGACAAATCTTATTAACAACAACAACAACTTCATGCAATTTCGTATTGACAGCTTAAGTCCTTCTCACCTGCTATGTTAGCAGATGCTGTGGAGGCCCCCATTTTGGCCTCCTCACGTTCATATTCTCCTCACCGTGGCCCATCTTGATGTAGAAATTGAAAAAAAATTATGAAACGTTTTCAATAGACATATTTCGGTGTATTCTTTGGATTCTTTCGCTCTGCAAATTAATAGACAAGAGAAAAGTGGATGAGTGTGTATGTAATTAATCACTACTAGTTTATTGCTCTGATTGTGTGCTAAAGGGTGGGTTTCCTCTCAAGACGGCCACTGCGCAATACTGCCCCATAATGCTAGCTGTTCCTGACCCCAAGCAGAATTCCAATAATAATAATAATTCATTTATACCCCGCCCATCTGTCTGGGTTGCCCAAGCCACTCTGGGAGGCTTCCAAGACATAAAAACGTACTAAAACATCAAACGTTAATAGTAACAATTTGATGCACTATAAAAGTCACAATAACTTTAAAATAAACAACTTATATCAGACAATCCGTCAGAATTAAAAGTAAACAGTAAAATTAAGCACCAGCAAATAATAATTAAACAGTTCGGCCACAATAAAATCTATCATCAATAAAATAAAACAATAAAATCCATCATCAATAAAAGTAACAGCAAATCACAGTGCATAAAATACCATGAAACATACAATACCATGTAAAAAGAGCAAATCGAGAAACAAAAGAAGCACAACTTATAAAACTATTGAAAAAATATCCCTGAACTCCTCTCTTCCCATCTGCTGCTGCTGCTGCTGCTGTTCTCAAAGTCTGAGAATGGCTAGGTGGAGCAAGGTAACACAATTGTTTGATGAGGAACAGAAAGTCTCTCTTCTCTCCTATGTATCTTGGGGGCGAATTTCCCAAACAAACCCAGGAGAAGAGCACTCTCTTCTGCTTCTCTGGATCAGTCCCTGTCCCCTCTTGAAAAATCATATGGAACATTTTTTTTTTATCCCAACATTGGCTGGGACAAAAGAGTGGCAGGGATGGGGGATCAAAAATTTGGCGTTGTGTTTTTTGTTTTACTTTTTGCTTACAGGAAGAAAACTGTACAGGCACCTCCCCACTGCATTGTATTCATGCACAACCACGCATGCACGTGGTGCCAGGAAATAGAATCATACTAGAAAATGGCAGGAGGAGAGCTGGAGAGACCTTGTGGCTCATGTGGAGACCCTCCCCAGAGCCTGAAGAGGGCGCTAGTGAGGGAAGAGGAAACCCCAAAGAGACCTGAGGCACAGCGGGGCTTTGTTAAGATTGCTCAGCTGTCCTGCCTAACAGCAGCAGACGAAGCTGCTTTCCTGAGCATCCTCCATCCTCCAGCCGGTCCCAGAGCTTCAGCTCTAGATATTTTGGTCTGGATTGGAGAGGGAGCTGGAGGGCAGGAGGGAAATAGGCATTTAGAGGCTGCCTCCTAGATTATGGGATTTCACTTATGCTCACAGCGGCCTGGAACACAACACCTCCATAAGTGAGGAAACACCTGTAAATGGCTAAAATGTGAAGGCTTTGCTTGCTATCGAGTGGGTGACACTGTCCTAAGAAAATATTTATCCTAGATTTACCTATGGGTACCATGCAAGCATGGGTACCATGGGGACGTGGGTGGCGCTGTGGTCTAAACCACTGAGCCTAGGGCTTGCTGATCAGAAGGTCGGTGGTTTGAATCCCCACGACGGGGTGAGCTCCTGTTGCTCGGTCCCAGCTCCTGCCAACCTAGCAGTTCAAAAGTACGTCAAAGTGCAAGTAGATAAATAGGTACCACTCCAGCGGGAAGGTAAACGGCGTTTCCGTGCGCTGCTCTGGTTTCGCCAGAAGCGGCTTAGTCATGCTGGCCACATGACCCAGAAAAAACTGTCTGCGGACAAATGTTGGCTCCCTCGGCTTGTAAAGTGAGATGAGTGCCACAACCCTAGAGTCGTTCGCGACTGGACTTAACTGTCAGGGGTCCTTTACCTTTACCATGCAAGCATTTGCACAAAGCAGCGCTTGGAAACATACCTAAATTCCAACCTGCAATCTCTTATATACTCAGATCTGTGCCATGCATTAGTATGTTTACTCGAGAATTACGTTCTACTCTGTTCAAGGTGGAGGGGCTTGCTTCATAGTACAGTCATACCTCGGGTTACAGACGCTTCAGGTTGCGCATTTTTGGGTTACGGATGTACCAAAACCCAGAAGTACCGGAACGGGTTACTTCTGGGTTTTGGCGCTTGCGCAGAAGTGCTGAATCGTGACCTGCATGTGCGCAGATGCGGTGATGTGGGTTGCGAACGTGCCTCCCGCACAGTTCACGTTCGCAACCCGAGCGTCCACTGTACTTGTGCTTGGAATATCCTGTGATTGAATCTGGATAGCTTGAAGTATATAAGCGCGATCAACAAGAATACAGCAATAATCAATGGAGAAATGCAAATCAAGTGAACACTTTGGCTATGCTTTGCTTCTGACATCACCATCACTCCCTTCCCCTGTCTGCTAGGGTAGCCATTGATGCATCACTAGAGTAGAGGAAAGGACGCGGGTGGCGCTGTGGGCTAAACCACAGAGCCTAGGACTTGCCGATCAGAAGGTCAGCGGTTCAAATCCCCGCGACGGGGTGAGCTCCTGTTGCTCGGTCCCTGCTCCTGCCAACCTAGCAGTTCGAAAGCACGTCAGAGTGCAAGTAGATAAATAGGTACCGCTCCGGCGGGAAGGTAAACGGCGTTTCCGTGTGCTGCTCTGGTTCACCAGAAGCGGCTTAGTCATGCTGGCCACATGACCTGGAAGCTGTCTGCGGACAAACGCCGGCTCCCTTGGCCAATAAAGTGAGATGAGTGCCGCAACCCCAGAGTTGGTCACGACTGGACCTAATGGTCAGGGGTCCCTTTACCTTTAGAGTAGAGGAGAAAATGCAGCAGATTTGCATATGCTAATTTAAACGTGTATATGCAAATTTGGAAATAATGACTGGCATTCAGATGAATTTGCTGTCACTTTGTCGGCACTGCAGGCTTTCTGATGAAGAAGTCGGTATTTATTTCCTTGCTAGATTGGATGAACTGTCTTTCTCTGCCCAAAAGGGCAAGTCAAAGCCCAACAGAATAAACTACAAAAGTATCAAAATTAGCTGGGGGAAAGGCAGTGGTGGTGTTATAACCACGTCTGCCAAGAGGGGGAATTTTGTTTTCTCTCCAGGTTTGGTGTTTTCAGGTACCTTTCAGCAAGAATAGGGGGTGGAAAACCAGTTGCTGTCCATATGTTGATTTGCTCTATGGGATCATGGGAGCTGCAGTTCCACAACAGATCCCTGAGCTGGACTGATGATCACAGAATCATAGAATTGGAAGGGGTCACAAGGGTCATCTAGTCCAACCCCCTTCAAGTCAGGAATCTTTCACCCAACCTGGGGCTCGAACCCATGACCTCCAGAGATTAAGGAGTCTCATGCTTTACCAGTTGAGCTGTATGATTCCACACTGAACTCTGAAACTTTGGAGAAATCTCCACTCTATGGCTATTTCACAAGAACTTGGTACACTTTTGTTATAAAGTATTATCTTTTACAAAACAAAACTGATCTTAAAGCTGCTGAGTGCGATCTTGTGCCTGTCTAAGCAAAGATGAAATTAGTAAATTAAATATTTGGACATTATCAGAACTCCAGATTTATGGACTAGCTCTGTTCTGCCTGAACATTCAATTCATTTTGAAACCACTATGATCAGCCTCAGCCAGCACTGTCTGAGGGCTGATCAAAGTCACAGTACAAAATTTCTGGTTTGTGCTGACTGCCCCCTGCCCCCAAACCTCTAGCTGCTTGGCGATTTGGGTGTTCTAAGCTGAAAATATGAGAAAATCTGATTGGAAAAATGGAAAATGAAACACAGCAAGTGTTTCTATATCAGTACTCCACCACAGAATGAAGGACAGGGGAATTCATATCCCAGAGCTTTCGTTTAGCATCTCAAGGAGTGGCATTCATGGGTTGGTTCTCAGGGCAAAACCTACCCCACCCTTAGGTTTAGGGTTTATTTGTCTCCCACAAATAGCTTGGGGGAAAGGCTTAAACCTTTGCCCCTACTGCAGACCCAATCCAAACTGGATCCCAGTGAAACAAATGGGATCTTTTTTGTGGCAGAGCCAATCCAGATCAGGTCCGCACTAGGCAGTAAATGGTTTAAGCCCCTTAACTCCCACACCCCATGCTAAAGCAGGGTCGAGAAACTCTTCCTATAGTCTCTTTTTCATCCACCCCCCCATTCATTTACACCCACATATACCCACTCTCTGTTAGCATACACCCATTCTTTAATTCCTATTCATTCGTTCATTCCCTCTGTCTTGCATATAGCAATGAGAGTTTGAATGTGTGTGTATGTGTATAAGAAGAATTTTAAAAAGGAATGGGGAAAATTTATAAAGTATTTAAGAGAACACTGTTGTTATTGTTGTTTAGTCATTTAGTAGTGTCCGACTCTTCGTGACTCCATGGACCAAGACAAGCCAGGCACTCCTGTCTTCCACTGCCTCCCACAGTTTGATCAAACTCATGCTGGTAGCTTCGAGAACACTGTCCAACCATCTTGTCCTCTGTCATTCCCTTCTCCTTGTGCCCTCCATCTTTCCCAACATCAGGGTCTTTTCCAGGGAGTCTTCTCTTCTCATGAGGTTGCCAGAGTCTTGGAGCCTCAGCTTCAGGATCTGTCCTTCCAGTGAGCACTCCGGGCTGATTTCTTTCAGAATGGATAGGTTTGATCTTCTTGCAGTCCATGGGACTCTCAAGAGTCTCCTCCAGCACCATAATTCCAAAGCATCAATTCTTTGGCGATCAGCCTTCTTTATGGTCCAGCTCTCACTTCCATACATCACTACTGGGAAAATCATAGCTTTAACTATACGGACCTTTGTTGGCAAGGTGATGTTTCTGCTTTTTAAGATGCTGTCTAGGTTTGTCATCACTTTTCTCCCAAGAAGCAGGTGTCTTTTAATTTTGTGACTGCTGTCACCATCTGCAGTGACCATGGAGCCCAAGAAAGTAAAATCTCTCACTGCCTTCATTTCTTCCCCTTCTATTTGCCAGGAGGTGATGGGACCAGTGGCCATGATCTTCGTTTTTTTGATGTTGAGCTTCAGACCATATTTTGCGCTCTCCTCTTTCACCCTCATTAAAAGGTTCTTTAATTCCTCCTCACTTTCGGCCATCAAGGTTGTCTCATCTGCATATCTGAGGTTGAGTAAACAACTAAAAGCATTGGCAAGATTTGACTAATACTTGTAATGTATGAAAAACTATGGGAAAACGGAAAATTATTATTTTTTAACAAATTAGAGAACATAAGATAAGCAGTTGAGAGAAAAAAAAGATTGATAATGGTAACCATGGAAGGGTTGAGGGAAGTTGAAGGATTCAGAGAATCCTAAATGAAGAGATGAATGGTGTGTTTGAATTTAAATTTGGTATGTAAAATTTAATAAAAAATATATTTAAAAGAAAAGAAAGAATAAACGGCCTTGGTCCAGTATACCTGAAGGAGCGTCTCCACCCCCATCATTCTGCCCGGACACTGAGGTCCAGTGCCGAGGGCCTTCTGGTGGTTCCCTCACTGCGAGAAACGAGGTTACAGGGAACCAGGCAGAGGGCCTTCTCGGTAGTGGCGCCCGCCCTGTGGAACGCCCTCCCATCAGATGTCAATGAGAAAAACAACTACCAGACTTTTAGAAGACACCTGAAGGCAGCCCTGTTTAGGGAAGCTTTTAATGTCTGATGCATTATTGTATTTTAATATTTTGTTGGAACCTCAATATTCTGTCACCATGAACACCAACCCCCACATGTTAGTTGAGCTGATGTTGGGGTGTTTCTTTAAAACAAAACTTCTGATTCTTTAATTTTGTCTTCTTGGGCCGGGGGCAGGTGGGTGGGGAGCCAATGGCTCTATGAACATAATAAGCATAATTGGCCATCCTTTTGTCCCATGCTGAAAATAGATGGAAAACGTGTTAGGTTTGCTATAGATTTATCATGAAATGCTTCCCCATAATTTCCCCTAATTAAATTTATATTTTATAACTTTATTTTTTCCAAATATTTTCTTTGCCTCGAGGAGCAAAAAATAAAATAAAATAATGGTTGGCTCTTTTTGGATCTTACATACATTAAGATTATTTTCATGCACTCAGCCATTGTAATCCTACTGATAAGCCCCAACTGACCCTTCCCTTCACATTTTGGGATTAATGGAGCAATTAAATACTGAGGGGGCTCTGCCAGCTGAGAGAGAAGCTCACTGCTGGAGACCTCCCCGGTGCCATTTTGCCGGTGGGCTTCTGTTGGTGTTAGGACTATGATGGGGGAAGCTATGAATCCACAGAACCCCAGGACCCCATGTCCTTTTGACACACACTCCCAAAGGCCCTAAAACTACAGCAGCCCTAGAGCTGGCGTATTTAATATTCTCTTGTTGACCACAATGAGAGGACAAAAATAAGAATACTCCAGCTCTTACACTCACTTGCACACAGACCATAGCTGTCAAGTGTCCCTTATTTGGCAGGACAGTCCCTTATCCCAGCGCCATGTCCCGATGATGTCCCTTAAATTTCCCGGGTTTCAAAGGAAGCAGCTCCTCTTCCTCCCTCCCTGCCGGCCAGGGAGGAGGTAGGCTCCAACTGTGTTGCTTGGCTGCGTTGCTCACCCAGTAAGGAGTCTAAGAACGACTGGGGGGTGGAGCTTGCATGCCTTGTGCCGATCAAATTGGCCGTGTTGCCTGGGGACTTGCCTTTGCTCAGCGCTTCCCAGCGGAGAGGTGACGGTGGTTTTCCTTGCTGCATCCCCTTTGCCGGGTTGCTGCGCTGTGGGAACCACCGCTTGAGGCTTTGTTTGGCTGCTGGCTGGGCTTTCTGCCTTTGGCTCAGAGGGGCTCAGAAGTTGAACATACCTGTGCTTGGAAAATCCCTTATTCTGGCTTCTGATCCCTTATTTCCGAGGCTGCTGGTCCCTTCTTTTCAAATCTGTAAGTTGACAGCTATGACACAGACATTCGGGCACACACTGCTGCGCTCCCCTCAGGTAGGTAAAGTTCCACTGTAATTTACAAAACAACTCGAACCCAAGATCCACTGCGAAGAGACTTTGGATTTGGCAGATCTTGGGCTCTCAGTTGGGGCTATGTCAGCGTAAGTCCCTGACCCTAGCTTACCTGGGACTCAGCTATTAGAACTTTCATACCCTCCAACAGTGAAGTTTTGAGTGGCCGTGGCTAAGGACTACCTGCTGTAGCGCTAGCCGATAAAAATAGGAGTTTGCTCTGATGGAGCGCCAGCTTCTGCCAATGGCGACACAAGAGGAGGGCGGTGCTGCTTAAAAAGTCATAGGGCAATTAAAAAACAAACTCAACTGATGCCGCCGCTGCCAATGTACTTCTGGCGGTTCCCTTGCTGCGAGAAGTGAGGTTACAGGGAACCAGGCAGAGGGTCTTCTCAGTAGTGGTGCCTGCCCGGTGGAAAGCCCTCCCAGCAGATGTCAAGGCAATAAATAACTATTTTACTTTTAGAAGAAAACTGAAGGTGGCCCTGTTTGGGGAAGTTTTTAATGTCTGATGCTGTATTTTTTTTAATATTCTGTTGGAAGCCGCCCAGAGTGGCTAGAAAAACCCAGCCAGATGGGTGGGGTATAAATAATAAATTATTATTATTATTATTATATCAACTGGAAAGCCGCAGTGGAAGGAGAAAGAAGAATGGGCAACGCACAGAGGTAAAGGAAAGAGAGCATCTTTTGGTTCCCCTTCTTGGGGCCACACTCTGGTGCATAGCTGTCAACTGTCCCTTATTTGGCAGGAAACTCCCTTATCCCAGCGCCATGTCCCGCTGCTGTCCCTTATTGATGATGTCCCTTAAATTTCCCGGGTTTCAAAGGAAGCAGCTGCTCTCCCTCCCTCCCTGCCCGCCAGGGAGGAGGGAGGCTCAAACTGTATTGCTTGGCTGCGTTGCTCACCCAATAAGGAGTCTAAGAACGACTGGGGGGTGGAGCTTGCATGCCTTGTGCCCAGCCGCGTTGCCTGGGGACTCGCCTTTGCTCAGCGCTTCCCAGCGGAGAGGTGACGGTGGTTTTCCTTGCTGCATCCCCTTTGCTGGGTTTCTGCACTGTGGGAACCACCGCTTGAGGCTTCGTTTGGCTGCTGGCTGGGCTTTCTGCCTTTGGCTCAGAGGGGCTCAGAAGCTGAACATATCTGTGCTGGGAAAATCCCTTATTTTGGCTGCTGATCCCTTATTTTCGAGGCTGCTGGTCCCTTATTTTCAAATCTGTAAGCTGACAGCTATACTCTGGTGTGAGCCAACTGACTCTCACTACAGCTTGGAATCAAAAAACATGTGTCTTTGGGTCCCCATCTCTGGCACGGCCAGAGCACGGGAGCCCAAACAGGACATTCGGGATTGGGATCAGCAGCCAGGAAGGCTTCCATTAAT